CCGTGCCGGGGCCGGGCCGGCGGCGGGGCGAGCGGGGGCACCCGCTGCCCTGTCCGTCCCACCGGGCAGCCCCCGGCGGGCAGGGAATACCCCAGAAATGATTCCCCACCAGCGTGTTAAATACAGTGAGTTTATATAAAGTACTAAAGGACCGCTGTGGTGGTTTTTACAGCTTTAGGATCTGGCACGAGAGGGGGAAAAAAACGCCCTTCGCGGTCGCTGCTTGCAGAGGGTTTCAGCACGAGGGCATGTTTGTTGCCGATTTCTGTGAATAGTTTTGGAAAAGCCATTTACTGTAGTAAATAACCACAGTAAAATCAGAAATCTCCGGAATGCCCTGTGCTGCTAATTGAGTGAAAGATTTTTTCCCCCGGCACATTTCATACTTAACTTTTTCAATACCCTAATAAAAAGGTTAATGCAGGAGAGATGATTTTGATCAAGAAGACTTGACTTCTTGACAAGAAGACTTGTGCTCTACTTTAAAGCAGTGCTCCGAAGCCTCCTCGTAGTATTTTTCTTTAATTAGTCAGTGATAATAGGACTACCAAATGACTACCATATAAACCAATTACACTCGTGAGAAGCATTTTAGGATACTTGTGTCATCCATGGACATCATAATAACGCAACTAAATTCAGCAGCCGTTGATGAGGACAGGGCAAATCCACGGCTGGAAGCTGACGTGTGCCTTAGCTGCAGCACGTTTTGCAGAGCTACACTCCATGAACTAGTTTGAACCCATTCTAACCACGCTGTGCTGAACAATGTTTGGGGATCAGTCTTAAAACAATTACAGGGAATGTAATAGCTTTTTAGCAAACTAATTTTCTTCTGAGCCTGCATTTAGACTCAGGAAGCTTCCCCTGATTCTGTATGTTGCTAGAAGTTAGCAAAAGAAGGTTGCAGAAGGAGGACTGCAGGGGCTGTAAAGTAGGATGTAGCTGGGCCCGTGTATATTTGCCCATGTTTCAAAGTCAGTGTATGGTTTTAGATGCTAAACTATTGGCATGCGGTAACAATTATTTCTACAGAATTGGCTTTATGGAGAACCATGATGCTTTGCCAAATGACACAGCTTTTGGCTGATGACAGTTTGAATAAATTGTTTCTTTGGGGATTATGGCCAAAATAAACAGAATATTTAACAAAGGAGTTAAAACCCACAATTTGTACAAGACAATTTCTGTGCTTTGATTGTTTTAAACAAATTTTTTAAAAAGTTGTATTACATTAAGAGACAAATTGGAATTTGGCAATCAAAGACAAAATATCTTTATAACCACATAATATGTTTTAGTAAGTATTTGATCATTCACCTTATTTAACAGTTGTTTGTTTCATGAATGGTACATTCTGTAATTTTTGTTTGAA